GAGAGATTCAGAGCTGCATGGAGTGATAATACAGTAATGCGGGAGTCTAGCTGAGCACGTCACACACCACATTACAAATCATCTGTTACACTGTCAGTCGTGTGTGTGTGTGTGTGTGTGTGTGAGAGTGTGTTTTGTAATGATGGCTGCTGTCACACTACGAACAGCTCAAGCATCCTGATGTCACACCATTTCTGGAGAAACTGGGACACTTGAGCAGATCTGAGCTCACACACTCACACACACTCTCACAAACACACACACACTCACACACACGCATGCACACACATCAGGTGTGTGCGTTCAATCAGCGATCAGTAATAATCTGCTCATAATCTCCAGCAGACAGTCAGGAGCGAGTTTGAACCGTCTGACTGACTTTTTCTGCCTCATTTAGTTATTCATAGTTCCAGTTTAACGTAATTGAAATGGTAGCTGATTGAATTATGCATTATGCATACATTGGATGAATTATGCATCACATTATGAATATTTGATCCATGCTCATTTCTGACAGCAGACAGACTAATTGTGCTCATATGCATATTCAGATGTCGCTCTGCTGTCTGTCTGCCAGATCACGCAACATTAATCACACCTGCAGCACACGTGTGTGACCTCCCTAGCAACCACCTAGCAACACCTTAGCAACCACCAACCAATGCCTTAGCAACCCCCGGGATCCAGTGGATGTTATCTGTTGTCTGAGAGCCAGTGCTCAGTGTGTGTCTGTGTGAATTCTCCAGCGGGAAACGGCAGCTATATTTAGAGTGGCAGGTTTGATTGGATTACAGAAGGGCCAGGCAGCAGGGGTCCATAAGCAGACAATCACCTCACTCTACAGTTTGGGTCCAAATCAAAGAAAAGATCAGCAGCTTCAGCCTGTAAGTCAACACACTACATCTAATCTCAAGTATAAGCCTGAATATCTGTCTGATTAATTTAGTCTGCTCTCTGTCTCTCCATCTGTTTCCAGCTGGTATTAACATCTGTTCAGAGACAGACAGGTGTGAATCACGTACAAAACACTGCTCTGATCACTGAAACACTCTCAGAGTCAGTCAGAAGCATCACTGGACACATGCCTGCTCACCTGTCAATCACCCGCTGCACTAACCCTGCGTACATGCAGCTTAATAACAGAATATTCATCATTTGAGAAACTATGTCTGACATTAACAACAAGTGCATCTCAGCTTCACTGAAATATTAGCGAGTAATTCTTGAGCTCAGATTAACATTTGGGAGAAACTTTTTGCTGACAGTGAGTGAAAGTTTGGGGTCACTATAATTTTTTATACTTTTATTCATCAAGGATGCACTAAATTGATCAAAAGTGACAGTAACTTTTATAATAATTTGTATAATTTATAATATAAATATAATTTATAACTTACAAAAGATTTATATTTAAAATAAATGCTGCTCTTTTGAACTTTCTATTCATCTGTGAATTCTGAAAAATGAAATGTATCACAGTTTCCACAGAAATATTGTGCAGCACGACTGTTTTCAACACTGATAATAATCAGAAATGTTTCTCGAGCAGCAGATCAGCATATTATACTGATTTCTGAAGATCATGTGACACTGAAGACTGGAGGAATGATGCTGAAAATACAGCTGCGCATCACAGAAATACATTACAGTTCAACAGATATTCACATAGAAAACAGCTGTTTTACATTCTAATAATATTTCACAGTATTTTAATCAAATAAATGCAGCCTTGGTGAGCAGAAGAGACTTCTTTCAAAAACATCACCAAATCTCTCCAAACTTCAAACTTTTGACCAGTCCAGTAATCTGACTGAACTAGTGACTGAATCACTGACTGACACACAGGTGCAAACATACAGTGTGTGTGTGTGTGTGTGAGAGAGAGTGTGTGTGAGTGAGAGTGAGTGTGTGTGGGTGTGTGTATGTGTGTGTGTGAGTGAGTGAGTGAGTGAGCGAGTGAGTGAGTGAGTGTGAGTGAGTGAGTGAGTGAGCGAGTGAGTGAGTGAGTGTGAGTGAGTGAGTGAGTGAGCGAGTGAGTGAGTGAGTGTGAGTGAGTGAGTGAGTGAGCGAGTGAGTGAGTGAGTGTGAGTGAGTGAGTGAGTGAGCGAGTGAGTGAGTGAGTGTGAGTGAGTGAGTGAGTGAGCGAGTGAGTGAGTGAGTGTGAGTGAGTGAGTGAGTGAGCGAGTGAGTGAGTGAGTGTGAGTGAGTGAGTGAGTGAGCGAGTGAGTGAGTGAGTGTGAGTGAGTGAGTGAGTGAGCGAGTGAGTGAGTGAGTGTGAGTGAGTGAGTGAGTGAGCGAGTGAGTGAGTGAGTGTGAGTGAGTGAGTGAGTGAGCGAGTGAGTGAGTGAGTGTGAGTGAGTGAGTGAGTGAGCGAGTGAGTGAGTGAGTGTGAGTGAGTGAGTGAGTGAGCGAGTGAGTGAGTGAGTGTGAGTGAGTGAGTGAGTGAGCGAGTGAGTGAGTGAGTGTGAGTGAGTGAGTGAGTGAGCGAGTGAGTGAGTGAGTGTGAGTGAGTGAGTGAGTGAGCGAGTGAGTGAGTGAGTGTGAGTGAGTGAGTGAGTGAGCGAGTGAGTGAGTGAGTGTGAGTGAGTGAGTGAGTGAGCGAGTGAGTGAGTGAGTGTGAGTGAGTGAGTGAGTGAGCGAGTGAGTGAGTGAGTGTGAGTGAGTGAGTGAGTGAGCGAGTGAGTGAGTGAGTGTGAGTGAGTGAGTGAGTGAGCGAGTGAGTGAGTGAGTGTGAGTGAGTGAGTGAGTGAGCGAGTGAGTGAGTGAGTGTGAGTGAGTGAGTGAGTGAGCGAGTGAGTGAGTGAGTGTGAGTGAGTGAGTGAGTGAGCGAGTGAGTGAGTGAGTGTGAGTGAGTGAGTGAGTGAGCGAGTGAGTGAGTGAGTGTGAGTGAGTGAGTGAGTGAGCGAGTGAGTGAGTGAGTGTGAGTGAGTGAGTGAGTGAGCGAGTGAGTGAGTGAGTGTGAGTGAGTGAGTGAGTGAGCGAGTGAGTGAGTGAGTGTGAGTGAGTGAGTGAGTGAGCGAGTGAGTGAGTGAGTGTGAGTGAGTGAGTGAGTGAGCGAGTGAGTGAGTGAGTGTGAGTGAGTGAGTGAGTGAGCGAGTGAGTGAGTGAGTGTGAGTGAGTGAGTGAGTGAGCGAGTGAGTGAGTGAGTGTGAGTGAGTGAGTGAGTGAGCGAGTGAGTGAGTGAGTGTGAGTGAGTGAGTGAGTGAGCGAGTGAGTGAGTGAGTGTGAGTGAGTGAGTGAGTGAGCGAGTGAGTGAGTGAGTGTGTGTGTGTGGACCTGAAGTCGCTGTAGGGGTGTATGATCCAGGCTCCAGCTGATCTGAGTCTCTCCTGCTCCAGAGCCACGGCCTTGTGGCTGCCCAACATGCGGAGCGAGAACTTGTTGACGCCGGGCTGCAGCATGGCTCCGAACTGCCTCTGGATGAAGGTGGACTGGTTTGAGTAGCTGTAATCCTCACCGTCTAGCCCCGGTCCGGTCTCTGGTGTCCCGGCCGCCGTGGTGGTGGTGGTGGTCTCGGGTCCGGCGGCGATCACGACCATCCCGGTGCCGGAGGAGGAGGAGGACGCCAGAGCGGCTCGGGAGGCGAAGCCCACGGAGCGCTGCACGGAGGTCGGCGCGGAACCGGCGTGCGGCAGAGGGGTGGTCGGGGTGCCCGGTCGAAACGGGCCGGTGTCACGCGTGGAGCTCATGATGGAAAGGCGGCGGTCGCCCTCCAGAGACGCCTGGGAGAGACGGTAACCGGGAGACGGCAGGCTGCTCTTACTGCGCCGCTTAGAGTCTCCGTTCCGCGCGGAAGCCCCGGTGCCACCATCCATGCCAGCGCGCACACACACTCACACACTCACACACACACTGACCTGTTGTTGCTCTTCTGTCAGATAAACACCGGTCTGTTCGCTGTCTGATCGGTCAGAACGAGCTCAGAGTCGGTTTGACCTCAGCGCGACAGATTCTCCTTTACGCTTCCTCCGGAGGACGCCTCGCCTCGCCCCGCCGCGCCGACCTCCGACGGCTCCTCATCGCGTTCGAACGCCCTTGAATTGACGCTCCGTTCGTCCTTGACGCGCTCGTCTTCAGGCGCCGTCCGTCATTTCTCCTCATTTCTCCATGTCCTCGAGGCCCAGGCGCTCCGACGCGCACCGACACCGACCAGCATCTCCGTGATTCGGTGATTCCCGCCTCTGGTTGTCACGGTGATGTATCGCGTTCAACAGACGCGCTTATACAAGAACGATCACTCTCTCTCTCACACACACACACACACACACACACACACACACACACACACAGGTCAGTCAGACGCGTGAAGGCGCATCATCATCATCAGATGCGCAACAGGAGAATCGGATGAGAAACGCGCCGCAGCTGAGTGATTCTTTCTGAAACACGCGATAATCAGGCGCTTATCCAGCGCGCGTCGCGTCGCTCCTTCGCGTTCATCCCTGTCACTTGTTGAGCTTGACGGAAGGACCAACGTGGTATTAAATAAATATGAAATCAGTGTGTGAGCGAATGAAGGTCTGTCGCCATGGCAGCAGCATCAGCATCATTCCTGTCACTCGCGTGCTCAGGTATGAGTGCGCGTCACCATGACGACACGGAGGCGGGAGGAGAGAGACAGACAGAGAGAGAGACACTGAGAGAGAGAGAGAGAGAGAGA